TGCTCCCCTCCCTGTGCCCTGCTCCCTCTCCCTGTTCCTTGCTCCCTCTCCCTGTGCCCTGATGCCCTTTGGTGTTGCCTGTTGCAGACATAGACGAGTGTGAGACCCCTGGGATCTGCATGAATGGCTGGTGCATCAACACGGAGGGCTCGTTCCGCTGCGAGTGCCTGGGGGGCCTGGCGATCGGCGTGGACGGACGCGTCTGCGTCGACACTCACATGCGCAGCACCTGCTACGGGGCCATCAAGAAAGGCTCCTGTGCTCGTCCCTTCCCTGGAGCAGTCACCAAGTCAGAGTGCTGCTGTGCCAACCCAGACCATGGCTTTGGAGAGCCCTGCCAACCCTGCCCAGCTAAAAATTCCGGTGAGAGCCTCGTCCGTCCCTGCGCCAAAGGGTGGGAAGGTGCTCAGAGGAGTTGGGAAAGGTTCTTAAGGTGGTTTGGGCAGTTTGGTAGGGATAGGGAAGGGGTATAGTAGGGGGGAAGGGTTGTCAGGCTGCTGAATTGAGGTTGGATGCTCCTAGATCAAGTGCAACCATTAACCTGTCACTGCTGTAACCACTAAACCCTAAACCATAGAATCATCGAGGTCGGAAGAGACTTCTAAGCTCATCAAGTCCAAACATTAACCTGTCACTACTGTGACCCTTTAACTATGGAATCATAGACTTGTCAAGGTTGGAGGAGACCTCTAAGATCATCAAGTCCAACCCTTAGCCTGTCATTGCTGTGACCCCTAAACCACAGACTCATAGACTCATCAGGGTTGGAGGAGACTTCTGAGATCATCAAGTCCAACCCTTAACCTGTCACTGCTCTAACCCCTAAACCATATCCTCCAGCACCAGATCCAGACACCTCTTAAACACCTCCAGGAATGGTGACTCCACCACCTCCCTGGGCAATATTCCAGTGCCTGAACACCCTCACAGGGAAAACATTTTTCTTAACCATCTAATCTGCCTGTGGTGCTGATCTCATTGCAGAGATGTTGGGCTGGAGCTGTACCAGCTCTGAAATACACATTGTCTAAGCACAAGCAGCTCCTGCTGGGAAGCCTGGAGCTGCAGTTGTAACAAACAAACACCAAATCCAACCTTAACCCCTGAATATCCCTGTGTGAAGTGCCCAGAAGAGCTAACAGCTCTGTTGTGCTCTCTCCACAGCTGAATTCCAGGCTCTCTGCAGCAGTGGCATTGGAATAACAGCTGATGGCAGAGGTATGTGCAGCCCATGGACCAAGATTTGACAGACACATCTCACATCACCCTTTCAGCTGCTCTTCCTGGAGTGTGGATGCATCTGAGTGGCTGTGGGAGGGTGTGCCAGGACAGACTTGGCACTGCTGGGTGTGCTGGAGAGGCAGCACAGCCTGGCTGGGTGTGTTAGAGCTGGGTGTGAGTAAGCACAGAGGCTTTGCAGAGCTTGGGTGGGTGGAAGTGCCTGCAAGAACCTCACTCCATGCCAGGCAGTGTCTGTGGGTGGGATATGAGCTTGAGCATGGGGAGGGAGAGAGATGCTGTGTTTTTTTCCACCTCCCCAAAGCACCACGAGTTGGTGTTGAGCAAGAATCCCCTGAGGAGTGAGGGTTGAATGGAGTGGCTGATTCCTGGCACCCTGTGGGAAGTTGCACACACAGAGTTTGGCTTTCCTGCCCGCTGGGATGGGAATGAAGAGCGTGACCAGTTGCATCCTCCTGCTTATTTCCCTCCTCTGCCCTCCAGCTCCTCCTTGGTGGTGGGAGAGGAGGGTTTGGAGTCTCCCAGGGAGAGGGAGGTGATAAGTGTGTGTGTGGGTGTTGCCAGGGGGCTGCTTTGCATTAGGCAAGTGGTGCAAGAGGTCACTCTGCCAGCCCTGGGCAGTGCTTGGATCAGCAGGGAGAGCTCAGAGTAGCCAGATAGCTCCAGCCTTGCAAAACATTCCAAATGGGAATGAGCCAGAGGCAAAACCCTGGTGACTTCTTGGGCTTCCTTCCAGGGCAGTGTGTCTTGGCTGGAGTCAGTCTCAGGGTAATGATAAGACTCTTTCTAGCAAGGAACTAACGTCAGACATGCTCTGGTCAGTGCCCTCAGCCAGGACTACACACACTCAGTGCTCTCCAGGGCTGCATTTCCCTGCATGGAACTGAACTCCAACTGCATGCAGACAAAGGCCAGCAGTGTCTGGGAAGCCCTGGCCTGGGCCTGTGGCCATCTGGCACCGTGAGGACACTGCTGTGCAAACACAAACCTGCCCTGGGTCTTGCCAGGGGGAAAGCTCTGTGCCTGAGCATCAGAGCTGTGCTCCAGAACCGCAGTGAGGTGATGCTGCTGCAGAGGAAGACACTGGCACAGGTTGCCCAGGGAGGCTGTGGCTGCCCCAACCCTGGCAATGTTCATTCCAGGTTGGATCAAGCCTTGAGCAACCTGCTCTGGTGGGAGGTGTCCCTGCCCAGGGCAGGAGGTGGAATGAAATGAGCTTTAATGTCCTTCCAGCCCAAACCATTCCCTGATCCTATGATTCCTGCAGAGGGAAACAGTGCAGAACAAGGAGGTGGAAGGTTTCTGTCCTTCCATTTGCTGTGGTCCATCTAAGTTGACATTTTGCTCTCTGCAGACATCAATGAGTGTGCCCTGAACCCAGACATCTGCCCCAATGGCATGTGTGAGAACCTGCGTGGGAGCTATCGCTGCATCTGCAACTTGGGCTACGAGTCTGATCCCACGGGCAAGAACTGTGTGGGTGAGTCCAGGCAGCCCAAGCTCAGCATGACAGAGGCTCAGGAGCTCACTGCTGGTGGGGAGAGGGTGGCATGGGCTCAGGAGCCAAGTGCAGACCTCCAGGAGCCTGAGGTGATGATGCCCTCAAGCACTGTCCACGTGGAGAAGCACAATGTGCCATGCAAACACAGCATGTACATGATTTAACCTTGCAGGTTGTGTTGGTGTGAGGGTGGAGCTGCATTTCTCCACCTCTGAGGCTGTCAGGGCTCTGTTGGGGTGGTGGTGGAGCTCAGAAACCTCCTGTGTCTCCTGACAGATGTGGATGAGTGCACTGTCAATCGGCTGCTGTGTGACACCGGCCTGTGCCGCAACACCCCTGGCAGCTACACCTGCACCTGCCCCAAGGGCTTTGTCTTCAGGACTGAGACAGACACCTGTGAAGGTAAGGCCACTCTGGAGGCAACAGGAACATCTTGGAGCTAAATCCAGTTGGGGACAGTCACTCGTGATGTTCTCCAGGGCTCAGTGTTGGGGCAGGTCCTGGTGAACAGCTTTAATGCTCATCTAGACATGAGGTTTGAGTGCACCTCAGGATATTTGCAGAGACACTGAGTTGGGTGTGAGTGTGGATCTGCCTGGAAAGCTCCACAGAAGGTCCTGCCTCAAAGGCAGCTCAAGGTCTAATGTGTCTTTGGTTCCCTTCCACCCACAGTGGTTTGACCTGGAGCAGCTCCAGGTTTGGGTTTGTGGTTTTGATGTTTTTTTCCTCTGGGAGAAACTTCACACTTCCTTCAAAACAGTGGACATCCAAACCCAGAACATCTGGGCTTTTCAGTGCTTGAAAACCACAACAATTTCCTCTAGGTCCCCAAAATTTCAGCTCAAGCCTGACCAAAATTGCAACTTTTGGGGAATTTGATTGCAAGGTTAATATTTCGGAGTGGGAAAAATTGTTTCCTGTCCACAAAGTCCTCAAATATTTGAGAACTGGCATTTTGCACATGAATGTTTAGTGAAAAAAACTGATTTTCTGGAAGGAAAGGAGGAAATGGCCAATGCCTCACATGTGGTTGAGACAGGGAGCTGAAGGCCACATCCAGCACTCTGACTGCTCCCACCTCAACCAGGAGCAACCCTGGGCTAACCAACCCACCATTCCCCTCTGGTTACCTCAACCACTCTCAATCCACCCATTTCCTCAGTCCTGAAGACACTGACTCACATCACAGTGTCACTCATGGCACGATATCTACTCTCAGCCCCATCTCCCTTGAGCTGCTCCATCCTTGGCTTGTCCCCACAGCTCTCCATGCCCTGGTGATCCTCTCAATAACTTGAAACCTCCATTCTTCCTGTTCTTTGCTCTCAGCTCCCTCAACTTCTGGCCCCAAAAGCTGTGTGCCATGTCAGTGCCCACAGTGACTGTGCCTTCCTTCCCACAGACATCAACGAGTGCACCTCCAACCCCTGTGTGAACGGTGTCTGCAGGAACAACGCTGGTTCCTTCGCTTGCGAGTGCTCCCCGGGCAGCAAACTGGACCCCAGTGGCACCATCTGTGTGGGTAAGGGTGGCACCTCCTTCTGGACACTGTCTGATACCAGCATTGACCATTACCACCCTTTGCTGGTCATCTCAAGTGTGTTCCTGGCTCAGGGATGGGGGTTTGGAGAGGGATTTTCACAGGGGCATGTGATAGGACAAGGGGGAATGGCCTTAAGGTGAAGGAGGGAAGGGTTAGATGGGATATTGGGAAGGAGTTCCTCCCTGGGAGGCGCTGCGGCACTGGAATGGATTTCCTAGAGCAGCTGTAGCTGCTCCATCCCTGGGAGTGTTCCAAGCCAGGTTAGACAGAGCTTGGACCACTCTGGGCTGGTGGAAATTGTCCCTGCCCTTGGCAGATGGAATGAGATGATCCTTAAGGTCCTTCCAACCCAAACCATTGTGAGATTCTATGATCCTTTGGCATCCCTCCTTCTCACCTGTTCCCTTGGATTTTGGTAACAATTAGTCTCTCATTCATCCAGGGAGCCTGAAAAGGTGCAGCCTCACAGAAATCTCCACCTGTGCTGCATCAAGGCAAAGCACAGACGTGGGGGCCCAGGAGAATCCAGGGATCCCAAAAGCACAGACATCAGGGCCCAGGAGAATCCAGGGATCCCAAAGGATCCCAAGGGATCCTTCCTGGTGGCTTCTCACTCAGTAGATGGGATTGTTGTGTGCTGATATTAAGGCACCTCAAGATGAAAGTAGATCCCTGCTTATCAAGGTGATGGGAAAGTTCTCACTTCCCACTCCTAGATGGTCATCAGGGCCCAGGAGAATCCAGGGATCCCAAAGGATCCCAAGGGATCCTTCCTGGTGGCTTCTCACTCAGTAGATGGGATTGTTGTGTGCTGATATTAAGGCACCTCAAGATGAAAGTAGATCCCTGCTTATCAAGGTGATGGGAAAGTTCTCACTTCCCACTCCTAGATGGTCATCCTCAAGATGAAAGTAGATCCCTGCTCATCAAGGTGATGGGAAGGTTCTCACTTCCCACTCCTAGATGGTCATGGCCTTGCAAAGCATCACAGGATGATAAAGGAGTATTTCCACCCAGAAGAGGAGGAGGCTGGGAGTGGGAAAAGGGCAGGACAGGGTTTGTGTCCTTGTTGGAACACATGTCACCCCACAGCCTAAAAGGTAGTGACACCAGAGAGCAATAGTCACCTTGCAGTCAGACCTGGTTCCTCCCAACTGCTTCCATGCTCCTGGGAACCTCCAGCATGGAGCAGCTCCTCACTCACACCTTGTCTTTGACCCTGCAGACAGCATGAAAGGAACCTGCTGGCTGAACATCCAGGATGGACGTTGTGAGGTGAACATCAACGGGGCCACGCTGAAATCTGAGTGCTGTGCCACCCTGGGAGCAGCCTGGGGCAGCCCCTGCGAGCGCTGCGAGATCGGTGAGGCTCTGCCTGGCACACATTCCCCAGGGAATGGCATGGAGCTGTGCCAGAGGGGGGTTGGGGTGGATATCAGGATGAGGTTCTTCCTCTAGAGGTGTTTGGGCACTGGAACAGGGTCAGGTTGGATATCAGGACAAGGTTCTTCCCCCAGAGGTGTTTGGGCACTGAACAGCTCCCCAAGGTCACAGCCCCAATCCTGATAGAGCTCAAGGAGCATTTGGACAACACTCTCAAGTACATGGTGTTTTGTTGGGGTGTCTGTGCAGGGCAGGAGTTGGACTTTGATGATCCTTTCAACTCCAGGATATTCCATGAAGCTCTGAGACCAGGAAGGCAGGAGACAACCCATTTCCTTGCTGACATTCCCTGTTTTCTTGCAGACACTGCCTGTCCCCGGGGATATGCCAGGATGAAGGGAGTCACCTGTGAAGGTAAAGTGCTGCAGGTCACAGGAGACTTTTTCCTGGGAACATGGTCATTGTTTAGTTGTTCCTATCCTGCATCTCTGAATCTCGGGGAGGATCTTTCTGGCCTTGTGTTGGACTCTGCATGGGACCACCCTGTCTGTCTCTGCTCAGGCTTGGTGTGCAGCCTCCTGGCAAAGTGGCTGTGGCTGTGCAGGGTCCATGTGGTCCTCATTGGGACAAGTTATCACTTTGAGTCTGGTGGGAAGCTCTCAGCTCCTTCCAGGAGCACCTCAGGGTCATGTTGGACTCATCCCTTTGCTACTCTCCCACCTTTTCCTCTCCTTTTGTGCCCACAGATGTGAATGAGTGTGAGGTGTTCCCTGGGGTCTGCCCCAACGGGCGCTGTGTGAACTCAGCTGGCTCCTTCCGCTGCGAGTGTCCGGAGGGACTGACCCTGGATGGCACTGCCAGGACATGTGTGGGTAAGGACATCTCCTCTCCCTCAGATCCTGCCCTCTACAGGGGTCCAGCCACCCCATCCCCACCTCCTGCAGCAGG